TACAGGAGGCCTTGGTTCATGGAGACAAACGGTTCTGTCTGATTCAGTGTTTTTAAAAAGCTTACACATTTAACTTTATAAATATGTTGGTTGCAAATATACAAACAGTTTAGATACTCTAGGGAAAGATGGGCACTTGGATTGTTTTTGAGTAGTATAGAGAATTAAGGGACACGGTTGTGAGCAGAGCCGTAGGTGAGGCAGGAGCCAGGCAGGCTGGGTCCATGACCCTCAGCAGCAGGAGTTGGTGGCACTCACATGCTCATGATGTCTCTCAGCATCTGTGGCTTCCAGGTTTTCTCTGCAAAGTTTGGATTCTTAGGAGAGAGATGTGTTCGCCCAGTCTGCTGTGTGCGGGCTACCTGACATAACATGGCAGAACCACTGTAGCCCTCCTTGGGCTAGGATGGGTCCTCATGGTCGGGAATGACTGTGATTTAGCAGCTGTGCCAATTGGTGACTTGTGCTCTTTGATGTTTTCAGTGTCCCCTTAAAGATATTAACCTTCTCATCTGCTTGATTAAACCCTAAAGGAAAAAGGTCCAGAGGCAGTTATTAACATAGACTATTTAAGACAAAGACCTCGGTAGAGACTAGAACCTTGATCTGTCTGGTTGCCCTCTCTTAAAAACATTCTGTTCAGGGAAGGGATTTTTATGCTGCATCTTTGGTAAGGCACGTGTTTCACAGTCTTTCATGTCTCCAAACATGGCCTCGTCCAGTACCGGACCCAGATCGTGCCACTCCCCTGCATGTCCTGCCTTCTGGCACCATTGTGACTCCTTTCTGGGAACCATGGTCACTGGCCCAGCATTAGCCACACCTCCTGAGAACTTCCTGGAAGTAAGCCCCACCCCAGACTCAGGGCACTAGAGATTATTGCAAGGTGAGGCCCAGCCATCTGCCCTCTGACAAGCCCTCAGGAGTTGCTGACGCATGCTGGAGGTCGAGGAGGTCGAGGATCCCAGGATTGGGGCTCTGGATGGGTCTGCTTTTCCCTCAGAGCGAGCAGGCAAATAGGCTGTCACACACATGGTTACTGTGCCGGCGTCTGGTGCCAGAGAGAGTGGTCCCCAGTGCCCCTGCTCTTGCGGAACGGCACCCAGTGCAGGGATGTGACAGACACCAGAGTGTGTGCTTCGAGGTGGCAGTAGTGCTGTGAAGCACAATAAATGGTGGCAAGCCTATCGTTGGCCAGGTGTGGGTGCGCATATGCAGTCAGGGCAGGACTCTCCTGTGAGATTCTGGGGGTGCAGAGGTGTGATGAGGAGCCACAGGCATGGGGGGAGCGCCCCTGCAGAGCCCTGGCCCTGATCCAAGTGGGAGGAGCCAGGCAAATGTGTGGTAAGGCTAAGACTGGAGGGTGGCCTGAGGGGCCCTCCCAAGGCGCCTGCAGCCCTTGTAGGCATTTTGTCTGTGATTCTGAGTGAAACGGGCAGCCATTGTCATTTTTGGAGCAGGAGAGGCCTGGCTTTGGTTGGCTTTTCAGTAGCTCATCCTGGCGGCTGTGGAATAGGTGTGGGCGGGTGGCGCAGGCGGACACTTAGGAAGTGGTGCATGGTGACATGGATCAGGGGAGGAGTAGCTGGGAGTTAAGAAATGCTTGCGTTCGGATGGGTTGTGGAAATGGAGCCCGTAGGGTCTGCTGGCGGATTGGCTGGGGGGTACAAGACAAAGTCAGGGGTGGCCTGAAGGTTCCGATCAGTTGAAAGAATGGAATTGCTAGTTGTCAAGTAGAAGATATTGGGTGAGTGGGGGGTGAGCGGTTCTGGTGCTGAGTCAGAAACGCTTGTCCGATGTCCAGATGTGCGGATGACATGAAACAGCAGTTGGAAATTAGAGTTTTGAATGCTTCTTTTGGTGCCCAAAAGGCATTTTAACAAAGGTTTTCATACTAAAAATTTAGTCATAATTTGGAAGGAGAGAAGTAGGTATAAAACAATTTTAGTCCTCCAGATTTTTTAAAAACCTTGATTTTAAATTTCTGCTAAGAATTTGTTAAGTAAAATTGAGGTAGCTCTGGTAGCATAGTGCCTAAGGCACTTGACTGCTAACCAGAAGGCTGGCAGTTCAAACCCACCAGCCACTCCTTGGAAAGAAGATGGGGCAATGTATACCGCCTCGGAAACCCAAGGAGGGGTCACTGTGAGTCGGGTCTGACTCGACGGCACATAACAACAAAAACGTAATTTATGAGGGTTTCTTTTTTTGGGTTATTAATCCATATGTGATGGCTCCTGGCTGGCTCTGTCACTGGTTTTGTGACTTTGGCCATGCTCCTTTTCGCTTGGGTCCTGAGTTGTCAGCTCGGCACTGGAGAGCTGTGAGGCATTAGAGCCCACACGTGAAGCACTGGGAAACACTCTTCCTGCTGGCCCAGTGTTCCTCGGATGTGCACTCCACGAGGTGGAGCAGTTATCATCAAAGCCCTTCAGACCCCTGGTGTTCTTGGTTCCTCGGTGCCGCTGTGACAGGAATGTACCACAAATGGGATGGCCTTAACAAACAGGAGTTTATTCTCTTACAGTTTGGAGGCTTTAAGTCCAAGTTCTAAGTGCCAGGCTCTAGGGGCTGGGTGAAAGCCCCTTGACCTTGGGCTTTAGCTCTGCCTCTTGCCCCTAACTGCTGAGGCTAACAAGCCCAAGATTGACAAATAAAATGGCACAATCTCGATGTTACAAAACGACACAACAGGCCATTAATTCAAGTCCATTGTAAGTCCCAAGGTCAGCAGAGCATGGCAGGCTGCTGAACAATGACACGGCTACACACAGGGTCCAAGCGTGCCGTACACTAGAGACTATCTCCAAGCTTCTTTCCTTATATACAGGAAGCAGACCACATCCCTAAAGCAGCTACTCAGCTGCTTGTGGTAGGTCCCACCATGGAGTTGATTGCCAGTCTCACCATGGGGAATAACTACCACCAGCTGCCAGCCACTCAAACAGGCCCAGCCAAGTTGACATACAAACTTAACTACCACACCTGGCAATACCACGTGTGTCAGAGTAGAACCCCATAGGCTTTTCGTAGCTGTAATCTGCCTTGGAAACCCGAGGAGGGGTCACTGAGTCGGGTCAGACTTGCCAGCAGTGAGTTGGGTTTGGTTTTCAGTCTTAACAGGGGCGGATCACCGGGCTTTTCTTTCACAGTGCCCTGAGTCGGTTAGCGGTCTCTCACACACCACTTGCACCCTTAGGTACCAGTGTCGGGTAATCAGTAGACCTTTGGTCAGTATTTGTTGAGCGTATTTGAAAACCTCATTCTTTCAAATATTGCTAAACTTTTTTAAAA